CTAGCCCAGATAATCAAGACCTGACTGTTTTTTGCCACTGGATTCAAGAAGCCTTGTCTTTTCAACTGGATTTATGTTTATTTCTGCTGCTGTGAAACCCAAAAGGAATGCAGTAGGTTTTAATTTAAAATTGTTTAATTCTATTATTGATAAATATTTATTGTAGTAAAAGTAAAGAGTAAATAATTTTTAAATCCTTTCAATTGTTTTCAGACTGTCTTCTTTGTTTTTCCTTAGTAGGCACAAAATGGGAGGGAGCTGTGGGGAGGAAATATTCAGCCACGGGTCTCAGAGAATCATTGCTTGTTTTAAAGCAAAACATTAAAAGGATTCTTTTGTTTTTTTTAAAGAGAGATTGGGGGGGGAAGAGAAACATCTGTAACAAAAAATAAATCAATAAAATAAAATTTAAGAAAAGAGTGATCAGCCTGCTTGTTCCTGGGTGTTCTAGAACCATGAGACTTGTTTCACAAAGCAGAGTATTAAGCAGGTGGCACTAACAACTATTCATAATGTACTGTTCTTGACTCCCCTAGGACTGGGTGATGGACAATAGATAATAATAACTGGGTCACACTGAAATTAATTTGTAAGGTGGTTGTTTCATACTCCAACATTTTTCCATAGAAAGAGTGTTCATACATGGCATTAATTTTCCAGGCTAATTCCACAGGAACCCAATAACCCACTCTTAATACCCCAAAACTATAGTATATAAACCATAAGTTCTTATAAAAACTCCGATTTTCTAACATTGCTTCTGAGGAGAATTATTTCCTTTTTTAATTATTTTTATTTTTTGTTAATCCTCACCCAAGGATGTTTTTCCATTGATTTTCTGGATAGAGTGAAAGGGAGGAAGGGAGAGAGAAAGGGAGAGAAACATTGATGTGAGAAAGATACATCAACTGGTGCCAGGGATTGAACCAGCAACCCAGGCACGTGCCCTTGACTGGGAATCAAACCCGTGACCCTTCAGTCTGATGCTCTAACCGCTGAACCAAACCTGCCAGGGCTATTTCCTATTTTTTTTTACATCAGAATTGATCTCCCAGTTCTGATAGTGGGCATTTTTTTAAAATGTCAAGAAGGCGAAAGAAGAAATGTCCCATATTTTAAAGCAGGCTAATTGTCCAGCTGTGTGCTCTTAATCCTCTGCCCTCCCAACTTCTCGGTTGCCCTCGCAGTCGCCCTCCCTTCTGCCTGCAGATCTAAATGCCTAGCAAGTACCTGACGCGCGGTGGGTATGTATGAAGTAACCACACCGGGGTCTAAATTTTAAAGACCCAATGCATCTAAAGTGTCTTGCTCCTTTTCCTGCTCTCTCATCGTTCCCCCTCTGCTCACAAATTTTCTGAAAGAACACATTATAACTGCTCCTTCCATTTTTCTTCTTGCTTTCATTCTGAAAGTTTCTTCGGACCTCCCAAACTATTAATACATCAACTGTTTCTTAGTCATGTTCAAACTTTGACCCCAGGGCAAGTTACTTATTTTTTCTAACCCCCAATTTCCTTATATGTAAAATGGGATTGTTAATATTACCACAGTTGTGTTACATGTTATGAATGATGCATGTAGAGTGTTTAGCACAGTGGGTTGCCTGAGGTGGGTGCTGGGTTTCTCTACTAATACCTAGTTCTCAATTTTTACCTCTGAACTTTCCCTTAAGCCTTATGACCTACTTATGACTTCCCTTCCCTTCTCTATTTCCTCTATCTTAGGCAATGCATGGATATGATGGCGAGGCAGTTCTAAAAATAACTAAAACTGAATAAAACAAGATTGCCTTCTGAGAATATATTAGTAAAATTCACACCAACTGGGAGAAAGGAATAAACCAAAAATATTATGTAAATGTTTGATGAATACACAAACCCCAGTTAAGGTGACTTGGTGTACATTATGGATGTAGAATTAAGTGTGGGACTTGACTTGGGATGCTAAAATCTAATCAATGTAACATTCTTTTTCTGGAAAAAGACTATAAGCTGAAGGTGGATGTCCAGCCTGCAGCATAGCAGAGCAAGCCTACATAACCTTGATCACCCAAAACTTACCGAGGGATGGGGGTGCCATGCCCCAAGGACTCGACCTATATAGTCTGTGGCAAGTCATACCCATGTGGCCCCTTGAGTTCATTATAGTCAACTGTACATCATCAAGAAACTTCCTAATTATACTTTGATTCCCTTTGTAGATCAGCCACAGAGATGTGCTGGTCACAAGCCATAAACACACATATGCCCTGTTGTAGTTTGCTCAAATCAGTTAAGTGTATTCTCTATATGTTTTTCTTTCATGGGCTTATTAATGTAAGTCATTTCTCAAAAGCAAGTCTGCTTTTGGAATATTGGCTACCAATTGAGGACCAGACTGGAAGCTAGTGAATTATCAAGGTGGACATCACATACATCCCTCCCTTGAAACCTTTATTCCACGATTCTTGTCTACTGCAGCCTCATCTCCTGTCACCACTCTTTAAAATAACAAATGAATAAATAAACTATTTTTTCATTACATCAAAAGTGATTTGTGTTCTTTGTAAAATTTTTAGAATGAAAATCACCCATAGACCTAGCCCCCCAGAGATGCCAACTGATGTTCCTTCCTCATTTTTTGTGTATACATACTACATATGTTACAAATAAAACTGGGATCATCCTCTACATACTGTGCTATGTTTCCTTCCTCTTTAATATATCTTGGGTGTCTTTCTAGGTGAGATTCATTCTTAGTGGTTTCATTGTTTTTGATCCCATGAAGGCTTAATCAGTTCCTCTACTGATAGATTTTAGGTCATATCTAGTTTTAGTATTACAACTAACTGCAGTGAGCATACAGATACATCTGTGTACGTTTCTTTCATTTGGAAAATATTTGTTGAGCACTCCCTACGTGCCAGGTATTGCACTAGGTGCTATATGAACAGTGATGAATAAAGCCAAATGATTTTGGCCCCATAGAGCTGTAGCCTAGACTCATTATCTTTCTAGGATAATTCTTTTGGGTAGAATTCCCTAGTCAATGCATAGACTTATTCAGATGTTTAAAAAATATGTTTCATTGACTTTTTAAAGAGGAAAGGAGAAAGAGAAACATGGATCGGCTGCCTCCTGCACGCCCATGGGACTATGCTCAATCCACTGAGCCACACGGGCAGGGCTACTTATTCAAACTATTAATAGATTTTGGCAAGCTGTCTGAAAGGTGTCTTTCCACATCTATAATTGAAGCTGTCTGTGACCACTCAAGGAAGACCACCTTCTAGCTGGTTGGAAGATGGCTAGAGAGAGCCAGGAAAGGAGACTAGCTTGGGGCTTTCACTGTGGTTAGGGGGTAGGGCTGGGATGATGGCACCCAGCTCACACTGGAAGCTCCTTTCAGCTCCAAAGGAGAGAACACCGGGCCCCTTCCCCCCCTAATTTAAATCAGCTGCCCAGATGTGGAGCAGAAGAGAAGGATGAGGCTTAAAAGCCGTCAGCAATCAAACAGCAAAAAAAGGGTGAATCCTTATCTGTCTAGAATGAGATACCTGAGGATGGCTTTAGGGCCAATTATCTTACTGTTCAGTCTTCATGGGATTTTATCTCGTTTGTAATAGCTGATTCCCACTGACTTTCTCATGGCTGCCTACTCCCTGCTGTAGAAATGTTCACACTTGTTTGTCTTCTTCCAGATAGTGGAACCATGGACCAGGACCTGGAAAGAGTTCACTACCTTTGACTCTGGGGCCCCTGGGGAAGTTTAAGGCTTGAGGTTACAACCACAGGAGAGTGATTTGCTAGAGGACCCTGACGCCCAAAAGCAGACACCAGATATGGGACAAAGATTCAGGCAGCTATTGGGACTCTTGGCGCTCCAAGATTTTGGCACTCCTAAATCTCTCTACCACTTGCAGACTTGGGAAAATTAAAAAAAACAAACTAACAGAAACACCCCAAAACTCCATTTGCCTCTGGGTATTTCTTATTCATGAAGGGTGTGTCTTCTTCGGCCTCACTATTGCCTGTGAGTTAAGTAGGCAGACAGTTGGAAAAATGGTCCTCAAATAGTTGTGACTTATCCAAGGTTGCAGGGCAGTCTAGGACTAGGACCTGCTTTTTCTCACTACTCCAGTGCCCCTTCCAGGGTTTCCCCTGGCCAATGTGACAAGGCCCTGTCAACTGGTGTACAATTTGTTTTTCAAAGGGCTTTAATTTTTAAAAAAAACACTATTTTGTTGACATTGAGACACACAAAAACCACCCAGGAAATAGTGCTTTTTCAAGGGATAGTGCTTCCTTGAGAGTTTAATTGTGCTTCTGTATCTTTAACTTACTCCTCTCCCCCCCTCCCCCCGGTACTATTTCCCTGTGCTCCCCCTTTCCTCTTTCTGCAAGGTGGTGACGGTGGGATTGCCCTAGGTTTTAGCCCTACTGAAAATGGCTACAGAAGACAATAATCCCTTACTGGGTAAACTTTATTGATAGTATAGAGTTTCACATTCTAGGGGAGATGGGGCCCCATGCAGGCCCCATGTAGGAGCTCAAAAATGAATGATGAATAGATGGATTGCAATATACTTTAAGCTTTCCAACGAGGCAATAAGCTCAGAGTGGACCTATTAATCTATACTCTGAGGAAAGGACAATACCCATACCCTTAGCACAGTGCTTGGCGCTGAGGTGCTCAATAATATTTGATGAGTTTGAGGACTATTCATACGATGATGAATTAGTCATGAGAGTCAGTGAGGGATGAACCACAACTCGGTCCAGATCTTCAGTCTTCCGGTCTGCGCTAATATGACCGGGCCTTCGAAGGTGCTCAAGACAGTACATCCTACTGCAGGAGCGAGAACGCACCCCAAAGCTGGGACGCGGCGTTCGGCATGACGGTGGGCGGGGCCTGAGCTGCACGCGCTATCACCCAAGCCGGACGATTTCCTGGCAACGACTTGTTGTTAGCAACCGGCGGTGGTCCTGCCTTTGTCTTGGCGGAGCTGGGAGGCACCCGCCATGAATCCGTCGGGATCCCTGGTGATCCTAGAGGATAAGGAGGAGGAACACTTAACCACTCCGATTCTCGGGCCCTCGATCCATTCCGATAACCCTCAGGAGCGGATTCAGGCCCGGCGCCTCCGCATCGCGGCGCGCCTGGATGCCCGGAGGCGGTGAGCGGGGGCTGGGCCGGCCGCCGCGGGGCGCCCCGGGTGTTCCGGAGGCAGTGTGGGGGGTTAGGGTTCGGAGCCCCGGCAGTGAGGGGTCTGAATACCCTGTGTGTGAGAGGATCTTATAATAATAATAATAATAATAATAATAATAATAATAATAGATTGATTTTAGAGAGAGAGGAAGGAAGGGAGGGAGGGATAGACAAACATGATTTGTCGTTCCACTTTTGTTGGTTTGTTTTTAAATTGACTTTAGAAAGAGAGGGAGAGAGAGAAATATTGTCTGTTGCTCTAGTTATTTATGCATTCATTGGTCGATTCTTGTATGTGTCCTGATCACGGATGGAACCCACAACCTTGGCCTATCTGGAGGACACGCTCTGACCAACTAAGGGCCTCGTTTCTTGATGAAATAGAAAACATTTCTTCCAGAAGATTCAAGCAAAGTATGGGCTATTAAGACATTCAACACACTACACTCAAAAACAGAAGCAATTATCCCTGCAACATTTTCACTGGGAGCCCGGTGCACCCGGCACTGTGGGCCATACACTGCAATGCAGGCCACCCAGGACCGGCCCTCAGAGGTTTTCCCCTTCCCTCTGGCCTGCCTTCCTTCCGCAGCTACCACTTCTGCTGGCCTCGGTGGCTTATCTGCTTGCGTGAGACACGCCCCCATTCCTACAGTGTCTGAGACTGATGTCCTTTTTCCTTTCAGGCCAGGGTTGCCACGCCATCCATTCACAGACGCAGTGGACTGTCCTAGGGGGTGCCAAGAGGCACCTGAGTGATTCCCTGAATGCCTTAACGCCCTCACTGTGTAACAGCATTGGACTTTGTCCTCCTGGTCAGGGTCAGCTGCCCCACCAAGATGATGACTTCCCTTCTTATCTGCTGGCCACTGGACTCATGGGGCCCACAGTGGTGTGGCTGTGTTCCAACCAAGATTTAGTTAATGGACACTGAAATGTGAATTTCACACAATTGTCATTTTTTTATCTTTTTTATCCCCTAAATTAATAAACTTCATTTCTTTTAGAGCAGTTTTAGGTTTATAGAGAAATCAAGTGGCAAGTACAGAGTTTTCCCATGTACCTCCTGCCCCACCCCTATGCATAACCTCTCACACTAGAAACACCCCCCCCCTAGAGTGGTACATTTGTTACAATTGATGAACCTCATTGACACGTCATTGTCAGCCAAAGTCCAAAGTTTACATTGTGATTCACTCTTGGTGTTCTGTGGATTTTGACAACTATATAATAGCATATATCCACCATTATAGTATTGTACTATATGATTTCACTGCCTTAAAAATCCATGCTCTGCCTATTCACCCTGGTCTTTTTTTTTAAAACCCATTTAAAAATGTAAAAATTATTCTTCACTTGTGAGCCATAAAAAACAGGTGGGTCAGATTTGTCCCACAGGCCACACTGCCAACCCTGATGTGATTAATCACTGAGATGTTCTGTGGGAGATCCAGATGGTCCTGATCTATTCAGACTATATTTGGACAGAGATCAGGAGAATTACCATTGCCCCCTGAGTGTGAATATGTATTATCATCAACCTTTGAAATCTTTTCTAGTTTGATAGGAGAGTAATGATACCTTACAGAGTTTTCAGTTTCATTTCTCTGGTTATAGGTGAAGTGAAACATATTTGTATTTCTCCTGTGAATTGCCTGTTCACAATCTATGCCAACTTTTCGATTGGTTATGTTGTCTTCTTTTGTATTGATTTGAAGGAGGTATTTTTCTATTTTATAGAGAGCAAGACTTTATCAAATATCTTTTACCAGTTTTTCCCTTGACTTTTAAGGAGAAATTTTAAAATTGTAGGGAGTAAATTGTTTAATTTTTTCCCCCTGATTTTGGTCTTATTCTCTCTCCTGTATTTACTTGTAGTGTTTCATGATTGTGTTTTTTTAATATCTATATTTTTAACCATGTGGAAAGCATTTTTGTATATGGTGTGAAGTCCCATGGAACCTTTAAATATAGAATTTAAGTACTAGAAGTAACCAGTTTCCCTATTTTTTTCCATCACAGGGAAGCGCTTGGAGAATATTTAGATGGGAAGAAGGAGAGTGAGGAGGATCAAAGCAAGAGCTATAAACAGAAAGAAGAAAGCAGATTGGTATGAACTGAGTAGCAGATGGGTCCTGCCAGTCCTGTGAGACAAGAGACCTGGGTGTGATGTCGTGGTATTTGTATATAGATATAGACTATAAGAAACTCAGTAAGCCCTGGCCGGTTTGGCTCAGCGGTTAGAGCTCCCGCCTGCGGTCCGGAGAGACCCGGGTTCGGTTCCCGCTAAGGGCACGTACCTTGGTTGCAGTTTGTCACCGGCCCTGGTTGGTCGTGCGGTGGCAGCCACTCGATGTGTCCCTTTCACATCGATGTTTCCCTCTCTCTCTCTCCCTCCCACTCTGTCTGTACAAAAAATGGAAAAATGTCCTCGGGTGAGGATAAAAAAAAAAAAAAAAGAAACTCAGTAAGATGGAAACTCCATAAAGACCCTATTTCCTGTCTCTAGGCAGAACTGAATTGGCATCTTTTCCATTTGGGGAGCTCTCTAGGAGTGAGCTCTCATAGTTTCTTGTATTGATGCTGCCTCTTCTTTGCTCATACACTTTTATTTATTTATTTTTAATCCTCACCTGAGGACATTTTTTTCTATTTATCATCAGATAGAGTGGGAGGGGGGAAGGGGGAGAGAAAGAGAGAGAGAGAGAAACATTGATGTGAGAGAGACACATTGACTGGTTGACTCCCACAGGACCTGACCAGGGCCAGGGATGAACCACGACTGAGGTACGTGCCCTTGACCAGAATCGAAGCCACGACTCATTGGTCTGCAGGCGGACGTTCTAACCGCTGAACCAAACTGACCAGGGCTGCTCATAAACTTTTTTTTTTAATCCTCACTCGAGGACGCTTTTCCATTTTTTGTTCAGATAGAGTGGGAGGGAGAGAGAGAGAGAGAGAACAAAACATTGACGTGAAAGGGACACATTGAGTGGCCGCCACCCACACGACCAACCAGGGCCAGGGACAAACTGCAACGGAGGTACGTGTCCTTAGCAGGAACCGAACCCGGGTCTCTAGGGACCACAGGCCAACACTCTACCCACTGTGCCCAACTGGCCAGGGCTGTCGTTGGTATTTTGATGGGGATTGCATTGAATCTATAGATTGCTTTGGGTAATATGGATATTTTAATGATGTTAATTCTTCCAATCCATGAACAAGGTATGTGCTTCCACTTTTTAACATAAATCTCTATTTCTTTTTTCAAAGTCTTGTAGTGTTCTGCAAATAGGTCCTTTACTTCTTTGGTTAAGTTTATTCCTGGGTATCTTAATTTTTTTGCCGTGATGGGAAATGGGATTGTTTTTTAATTTCTCTTTCTATGAGTTCATCATTGGTGTATAAGAATGCTGTAGATTTCTTGACGTTAATTTTGTATCCTGCTGCTTTGCCAAATTCATTTATTAAGTCTAGTAGATTTTTGATGGAGTCTAGGGTTTTCTATGTATAATATCATGTCATCTGCGAATAATGACAGTTTCACTTCCTCCATTCCAATCTGGATCCCTTTTATTTTTTCTTCATGTCTGATTAGCTGTGGCTAAGACTTCCAGTACTATATTAAAAAACAGTGGCGAAAGTAGGCGTCTCTGTCTTGTTCTTGTTCTTAAGGGAAATGCTTTTAGTTTTTGCTCATTGAATATGATGTTGGCTGTAGGTCTTTCATATATGGCCTTTATTATGTTGAGATATGAGCCCTCTAGTCCCACATTGCTGAGCGTTTTTATCAGAAATGGGTGCTGGATTTTGTCGAATGCTTTTTCAGCGTCTATTGATATGATCATGTGTTTTTTATCTTTCATTTTGTTTATGTGGTGTATCACATTAATTGATTTGCGAATATTATACCAGGCTTGCATCTCTGAAATGAATCCCACTTGGTCATGGTGAATAATTTTTTTTATGTATTGCTGGATCCAATTTGCTAGTATTTTGTTAAGGATTTTGGCATCTATGTTTATCAGGGATATTGGCCTGTAGTTTTCTTTCTTTGTAGTGTCTTTTTCTGGTTTTGGAATTAGAATTATGCTGGCCTCATAAAATGAGTTTGGAAGTCTTCCTTCTTCTTGAATTTTTTGAAATAGTTTGAGGAGAATGGGTGTCAGTTCTTCTTTGACTGTTCGGTAAAACTCCCCCGTGAAGCCGTCTGGGCCTGGGCTTTTGTTTTCTGGGAGAGTCTTGATTACATCTTCAATTTCCTTAGTTGTTATTGGTCAGTTCAAGCTTTCTATCTCTTCCTGGTCCAGTTGTGGGAGACCATGTGTTTCTAGAAATTTTTCCATTTTGCATAGATTGTCAAATTTGTTGCCATATAATTGTTCATAGTATTTGTTAACAATCCTTTGTTTTTCTGTGGTGTCAGTTGTTACTTCTCCTCTTTCATTTCTGATTTTGTTTATTTGGGTTCTCTCTCTTTACTTCTTGGTGAGTCTAGCTAAAGGTTCATCAATCTTGTTTATCTTTTCAAAAAACCACCTCTTTCTTTCATTGATCCTTTGAGTTGTTTTTTTGGTCTCTATGTCATTTATTTCTGTTCTAATCTTTACTATTTCCTTCCTTCTACTTGCTCTGGGGTTTTCTTTTTATTTGCTTTCTAGTTCTTTAAGTTGTGAGGTTAGATAGTCTGTTAGAAGTTTTTCTTGTTTCTTGAGGTAGGACTGTAATGCTATGAACTTCCCTCTCAGAACTGCTTTCACTGCATCCCATAGATTTTGTGCTGTTGTGTGTTCATTTTCATTGGTTTCCAGGACGTTTTTAATCACTTCCTTGATATCCTTGGTAACCCATTCATTGTTTAATAACATGCTCTTGCCCTGGCCGGTTTGGCTCAGCGGTTAGAGCGTCGACCTGCGGTCCTGAGAGACCCGGGTTCGGTTCCCGCTGAGGGCATGTACCTCGGTTGCAGTTTGTCCCCGGCCCTGGTTGGTCGTGCAGGTGGCAGCCACTCGATGTGTTCCTTTCACATCGATGTTTCTCTCTCTCTCTCTGTTCCTCTCTCTCCCTCCCACTCTACCTGAACAAAAAATGGGAAAGTGTCCTCGGGTGAGGATGAAAAAAAAAAAAATAACATGCTCTTTAGCCTCCATGTGTTCAAATGTCTTTGCATGTTCTTGTTGCAATTGATTTCTAGTTTTATGCCATTGTGATCTGAAAAGATGCTTGATATGATTTCAATCTTCTTGAACTTGTAGAGCCTTAGTTTGTGTCCTAACATGTGGTCTATCTTTGAGAATGTCCCATGTGCACTTGAGAAGAATGTAAATCCTGTAGTTTTGGAGTGTAATTCTCTGTAGATATCTATTAAATCCATTTGGTCTAGTGCTTCATTTAGAGCCTCTGTTTCCTTGCTTACTTTTTGGGTCTAGAGGATCTATCCAGTGATGTCAGCAGGGTGTTGAAGTCCCTTGCTATGATTGTATTGCTGTTGATTTCTCTTCTGAAGTCCTCCAGATTTTTAATATATTTTGGTGCTCCGATATTGGGTGCATATATGTTTACCAAGGTTATATCTTTCTGTTGGATAGATCCTTTCAATATTATGTAGTGGCCTTTTTTGTCTCTAGTTATGGTCTTCATTTTGAAATCTATTTTTATCAGATATGAGTATTGCTACCCCAGCTTTTTTTCCTTTCTGTTTGCTTGGAAAATTTTTTTTCCATCCCTTCACTTTCAACCTATGTGAGTCTTTTGTTGTGAGGTAGGTCTCTTGTAAACAACATATATATGAGTAATGCTTTCTTATCCAATTAGCTACTCTTTTTCTTTTTATCGGAGCATTCAGTCTATTTACATTTAAGGTGATTATTGATATGTACTTATTTAATGCCATTTTTGTTTAGTGTGGTTATATTTTTCTTCCTATTTCTTCTACTAATTACAGCAGTCCTTTTAACATTTCTTGTAGTGCTGGTTTGGTGCTAATGTATTCCCTTAGCCTTTTTTTTTTTTTTTGTCTGGGAAGCTCTTTATTTGACCTATTTTGAATGATAGCCTTGCTGGATAGAGTAGTCTTGGATTCAGATCTTTGTTTTTCATGACCTTGATTACTTCATGCCACTCCCTTCTGGCCTGTAGTGTTTCTGTTGAGAAGTCAGCTGAGAGCCTTATGGGGGTTCCTTTGTAGGTAACCTGTTGCTTACCTCTTGCTACCTTTAGGAGTCTCTCTTTGTCTTTAATTTTTGGCATTTTAATTACTGTGTGTCTTGGTGTGGGCCTGTTTGGGTTCTTCTTACTTGGGGCTCTCTGTTCTTCTTAAACTTCAATGCCTTCTTTCTTCACCAAATTATGGAAGTTTTCTGTCACTATTTCTTTAAATATATTCTCTAACCCTTGCTCATTTTCTTCTTATTTGAGGACTCCTATGATGCAAATATTATTATGTTTCCAGTTGTCCCATACTTCTCTTAAGCTGTCTTCCTGTTTTTTTAATTGTTTTTTCCTTTTGGTTTTCTGATTGGTTGATTTTTTCTACCTTGTCTTCTAATTCACTGATCCAGTCTTCAGCTTCCTCTGGTCTGCTGTTTAGTCCTTCCAATGTGTTCTTTATTTCTGCTATGTCATTCTTTATTTCTCCTTGGTGGTCTTTTTTATTTCCAATTGGTTGATTTTCAATGTTTCTATGTCTTTACTCATGGTGTTGATGTCCTTACTCATGCTGTTGAACTTCCTCAAGATCGTGGCTCTGAATTCTACCTCTGATAACTTGCTTAACTGCATTTCATCTATCTCATCTTTGATAGAGGTTTCTTGTTCTTTCATTTTGGGATTTGTTTCTTGGTTTCACCATTTTGGCTATCTCAGTGGGTTTTGGAACCTGCCAAATTTTCCCTGTGGGTGTTGGTGTTTATGGCTCCCTCTACTGGGTTTGGATGAGCGTGGGAGAACCCATGTTAAAGACCACTGTCAACTCTTACTTTCCTGGGTAGAGTTGTAAGCCTAGGAATGATTCAGTTATTTTCTAGCTTTTTGCCTGGAGGCTATTAGTCATGGTTACTTGAAGAGCCTTGGTTTCTCAGTTGAATGAAAAACTCCCTCAGGTGTTCTGCATAAAAGGATTTCCCCAGGGTGGGGCAGATGCTGGTTGTTAATGAGCCTCAATTTGCATTTCAATGGCCCCCCTGGGTGGGATTGAATCTTCAAAGGAGGGGTCCCCACCTCTCCCCAGAGCCCTGGGAAGGAGTAAGATGGCCACCGTCCTGCATTGCTGCAACTCAGCAAAAGCTCTGAGCACCCTCCAAATCCCAAGTGTCCCCACACAGTTCCAGTCCTGTTTGCCCTCCCTCTGCCAGAGCCCAAGGTGAGTGGCTGTGGCTATTTTAGCGCTCTGTCCTGGTCCTCTGTGCTGTGGAGCCGGCTTGGGATTTTAACCCTGATGGTGTTGCTCACAGCTAAGACCGCTGTCTGTGGTCTCCCAGCCCCCCTCTCATGCCTCTGCAATCCTACCAGGATTGATTCAGTGTCCCTGGTTATATGATCCTTGCAAGCTGCTTTTCTGTTGCTTTTCCCCCACGATTTGTCTTTATTTTAGTTGTAATTCCAGTTTGGTCCTGGGAGATGGTCTGTGTAGCTTCCATTCACTCAGCTGCCATTTTGGAATCACCAATTGATTTTTATATATTGACCTGATATTCAGCAACTTTGTCAAATTTACTTAAAAATATTTTTTCTTTACTGATTTTAGAGAAAGAGGAAAGGAGGAGGAGAGAGAGATAGAAACATCGATGAGAGAGAAATTGATTGGCTGCCTCCTGCACGCCCACCATTGGGGATTGGGCCTACAACCTGGGCATGTACCCTGACTGGGAATAGAACTGGTGACCTCTTGGTGCATGGGTCAGTGCTCAACCACTGAGCCACATTGGCCAGGAAACTGTAACATTTTCTATTTTATTTTGAGTCTTAAGTACTTGATTTAGAAATTTCTGATGTTTACATTGTCTGAATAGAAAATAGAAAATTGCTCAAAACTACAGTACTTGCTCAAAATTACTTCCCTATGCATGTAAAAGCGTTTGGTACAAGTGATAAAGCTGTGGGCTTTTTAAACAGTCTGCAGTACCCAAGATATCTGGGTTTAATGTCTGTTTTGTATTTATTAAAACTGCATTTCAAAATTTCTATAGACTAGTGAGATGAAATAGAGTCTCTGATCATTTCAATGACTCCTTGGGATAAAGTCGTTTACAAGTTCTAGGTTCCAAAATGAGAATTTGTAAGTTCCAAAAGAGACTTGGAAAACCTTAGGCATAACATAAGGATACCTGAACTTTTTGGTGCAACTATGACATCACAAAAATGCCTGGAGTGAAGATACTGAATGTGGAATTTACAAAGAGGTATTAGAAGCGGGGTACCAAGAGCAAAATTCCTGAGCCCATCAAGGGAGAGGGCAGTGCAGCCAGCTACAGTACTCTCCTGTATTAGGACCCCTTGTAACAAAAGATCCCACATAACATTAGTGTAAATAAGACAGAAGCTTATTTTTCTGCCTCACGTAATAGTCCAGGGCTGACATGCAGGGTCTTCAATATTGGGCCCTCACTTCCTTTTGCTGCTCATCTGCTCATCATGTCATACTTTAGCACCCTATTTCAGCCTGGGAGAAGGGGGAAATGGAGGCTGAAGAAGGTACATCTTTTCCCTTCAAGGCACAATTCAGAAGTGGCACATCTCTGTTCTGCTTATGCTATTATTGATCAGGCCATTCTAGCTGCAAAGGAGTTTGGGAGATGTCTCTATTTTGGGAGATCAGATGCCTACCTAAAATTTGGGTGTTCGATTACTAAAAGAAGAGGAGAACATGAACATGGGAGAAAAACTGTTACTGTCTGCCTCACCTCCCCAACTGAGAGTCTTAGAAAGGATCCTGGCAGTGTCAGTCACTTGGAGGTCTACTGGGGAAAGTTTATGTACCAAGAGCGCATGCCCATACTAGTTGGCTGATCCCTACTCTGAGAATGACCTCAAGTACATCGAGAATTGCAGAGTGCTATTGAATTGTAAGATAGGACATCATATCACAAGTGTCCCGATGGAAATGGGCTGCTACATAGATGCTATTCTTAAAAATCTTAATGTAAAAACAAAAAGGAGAGAATTTAAAAAAAGCAAAAATGAAAAAGTCTTAAGGTAGCTTTTGATTCCTGTTTGGGTGGACAGAAGAGTTACCAACAGTTGTGCAAAGTGTTTGTAATTTTATACATTTTTTTAAAGTTATAAAGTTATGTTCATAGTTCCTTATAAACAGTTGTATAAATTTTATAAGTATATAAATTCTTTATAGAGTGTTCTAACATTATAAGTTCTTCTTGGTTTTTCAGAAATTGGTTAAACTGCTGCTCTGTGGCACCGAGTTGGTGACAAATATCCAGGTGGCTACAGACATCAGAGAGATCCACAGGAGAGTTGAAGAAGAGGAGATCAAGCGTCAGAGGTGAGGAGCCCCCTGCTCCAAAGGCTGGTGGTGTGTAGATGTCTCCTCTGTGGGTCCCTGAGTACTCTCCAATCATTGGAAAGGGGCTTTGTCAAACTTAGTCTAGTAAAATCTTTTCCTTCCCTCCTGGCTTTTCTCCCGTCCTCTTCCGTTTCTCAACTCTTACATTGGTGATAATGTGCCCAGCTGTGTGGTTAGAGAGAGGAGGGAACACGACCTCTGGGCCTGATGTCTAATCAGATAGACGTGGGAACACCCAACCACGGTTTGTGTTAAAATGAAGGTTATGTGTAAAGAGTTCTGGAAACATATAGGAGGAGGCCTCTCATTCTCTCTGGAGAGACTATAGAGGAAACTCTCCAGGCAAAGTGACATTTGAGTTGGGCTGTAAAGGATCAACAGGAATTTGAGGAGTGGGAATTTTAGGCAGAGGGAACAGCTTGTGCAGAGGCATAGATCACATAATGTGCTTGGGAATGGCACCACGTGAAGGATGTATGGGCAGGGGCTTGGGGGATGCAGAGAGATGAGGCTAAGAAGGTCATGGGCTGTCCATGAGAATGACCAGGCCCATAAACACCTCAGTGTGATGTGCAATGCAGCAGGTATTAACGAAGAGTAAAGACTCCACGCTGGAAGCACAGCGGGTCCGCGGATCACAGGGACCCATGGCAGACCTTCAGCTCCAGTCCTCCTCAGGAAGGCTGCGTGCACACCTGTCTTCCCAGGTCTCAGGTTGCCCAACAGTCTGTAGTCCAATTAGAAGAGCAACCCGTCTGACCATTTTAGCCCATCTCAGCATATTCACACATAGTATGATTTGAACAACAATATTTTTAGTTGTTCAGCATAAGTAGTTCCCCCACTGGCAACTTTACCACCTTTGTTAGTATTTAATTGGTGACTTTTTTCTTTTCTTTTTTTTATCCTCACCCAAGGACATTCTTTCCAGTTTTTGTTCAGATAGAGTGGAAAGGAGAGAGAGGAAGAGAGAGAGAAATATCGACGCGAAAGGTACACATTGAGTGGCTGCTACCTGCACGACCCAACCAGGGCCGGGGACAAACTGCAGCCGAGATACGTGCCCTTAGCGGGAACCGAACCCGGGTCTCTCTGGACCACAGGCCAACGCTCTAACCACTGAGCCAAACTGGCAAGGGTGGTGACTTTATTCTTGAGACTTCCCAATGGCTGTCATGGGCTGTACCAGGAACTGAATTGGCTGGTCCCCAGCAGGGTCAGCTTGTGAAGGGCCCCGAGTGCCAAGCCAAGGAGGCAGGCTTCGTCCTGGAGCCACTGAGGGCAAATGGAAGGGTTGAAGTGGCGGAGTTGCAAGGTACATGTGGATTTTAGAAAGATGACCTGATGGCTGTTGCTCATTTTTTGAAGAAGAAATTCAATGGAAATACAGTAGGTACTGTGTGTCCTAGCTTGGAAAGTGGGAAGAAGAGAGGGGATCACAAGATGATTAAGTTGTGACTCCTGTCCTTCAGGGGGTGTGCACACTTGTTTGGAGACAGTCTCACAGAAGTGTAGTCTGCTAGAGTAGGGGCGGAGCCTCTGGCATGTGCCCCAGCCCCTGTTCTAAGAAGGCGCCTCATATCTCAGCCCTGTGGCCTTCCTTCAATCCAGGCCCATCCATCAGGCAGTTTCTTTGGAATTCCTGGGAAGACCATCCCCGTTTTCTATTGCCAAGGGTGGAGTTTCTTACTTGTACATTCCACTGGACGTTTGTTGATAATTTGGGAGGGGAATGGCCAGACACTTGAGGTCATGTTGATAATGACAGTGAATCATATGAGTAGCATTTGTTAAGTGACTACTGTGCTGAGCATCATCTTATTTAATCCTGGCAACAGCCATGTGAAGGGAGATACTTTCATCCTCACCGTTTTATGGATGAGAAGAATGGGGCTTGCTGAGGTCAAGTAACTTCTCTAAAGTTGAGTGTCAGTTAGTAGCAAAGCCAGGACTTAATCCACATGTATGTGTAGCTTTACTGTTGATCTGTCTTTGTTGTGTCCTTTGTTTATTTGGTCTCAGTTATTTCTAGTCAAGCATTAAACTGAGAGCTTGGTTTGGTTTAGGGTGGGTGTATCTGGAGGCAGCGCTTGGTAACCAGGCCCTGTATTGTAGACCCCGGAGGACCTGCCCGCTCTGTTGTATTGTAGACCCCGGAGGACCTGCCCGCTCTGTTGTATTGTAGACCCCGGAGGACCTGCCCGCTCTGTTGTATTGTAGACCCCGGAGGACCTGCCCGCTCTGTTGTATTGTAGACCCCGGAGGACCTGCCCGCTCTGTTGTATTGTAGACCCCGGAGGACCTGCCCGCTCTGTTGTATTGTAGACCCCGGAGGACCTGCCCGCTCTGTTGTATTGTAGACCCCGGAGGACCTGCCTGCTCTGTTGTATTGTAGACCCTGGAGGACCTGCCTGCTCTGTTGTATTGTAGACCCCGGAGGACCTGCCCGCTCTGTTGTATTGTAGACCCTGGAGGATCTGCCCACTCTGTTGGAAGGCAGCTTTGGAAATGGAGCTGGCATGGCCTGCATGTTTGTATTTGCAGGCTTGAAAAACTGGAGAATGAAGTCAAGACCAGCCAGGACAAATTTGATGAAATCACTGTCAAATGGGAGGAGGGCAAACAGAAGAGAATTCCCCAGGACCTGTGGGAAATGCTGAACACGCAGCAGGTGCACTGTGCTGGGCTGATAGAAGACAAGAACAAGCTTATCAACGATTTACAGCAGGCAAGAAGCCCAGATCATTCCATGCCAGCCAGGTGGGATTGGTTGGGGGCTTCACTGGGTTTTTGGTGAGCTTCTCCCGAAGGGAAGAAGGTGGAGGCCTTACTTCAGGCCCCAGCATGCTGACAGCTCAGGCAATCAGCGTTTGACCAGAAGGAAAAGCTGTGTAATGATTTTATTTATTTATTTATTTTGTTCAGATAGAGTGGGAGGGAGAGAGAGGAAGAGAGAGAAAGAGAGAAACATCGACGTGAAAGAGACACATCGAGTGGCTGCCACCCACACAACCCAACCAGGGCCGGGGACAAACTGCAACCGAGGTATGTGCCCTTAGCGGGAACCGAACCCGGGTCTCTCTGGACCGCAGGCCGATGCTCTGACCGCTGAGCCAAACTGGCCAGGGCTGTGTAGTGATTTTAGAGTGATGGGTTTCCCAACAGAATCATGTCCTTTCCTAGCAAATTTTCAAGTTTATGTTTGTAGTTAAGGAATGGGACTTGTCTGCGGGGGTATGTCCCCATGCTGCAACCTGCACACTAGCTGCTCAGCGGGCACACCAGCCCGTGCTGCCATCCGCCCGGGCCCTCTCCTGGGCCTTGTCCGACTCTCTTGAGGCCTTTCTCCTTGTGCGACTATAATTCCTAGTGGTCACAGACGCTGATGAGAGGGGTCCAGGGGGCGTGTGCTTCTGTCTCAGTTTGTCACCAACCTCTGACATGCTCTTTTCTAGGAGTTAAAAATAAAGGATGACCAGTACGTGAAGGATTTGAAGAAGCAGTCGGAAGACATCTGTCTGCTCCTGGAGAGGATGGAGGAACAAGTGAAGAGCGTAATGAAAAGCTTTCGTCAGGAGCTCAACCACATTGAGGTAGCGGCATGAGAGACCTGCTTTCTGCCCTGGGAGGAGGGCTGGGTCTGTCCCAACCGCCCGATGAGGGTCCCAGGTGTCTTGGTTCTCCGCTTCCTGCCTCTGCTCTGGGATTCATTGGTTTACTTACTTATTCAACACATATTCTTCAAGTGTCTGCTATTCCAGGCACTGTACCAGGCCTGGGGATACCGTGATGAGCACAACAAGGTCCTCGGGGAAGCCTGTGCTCTAGTAGGAGAGAGCTAGACAACACGCAGTTGAATCGCTAAACATAAATTGACAGGTGGTGATAAGTGTTTTGAAAGAAAATAAAACTGGGTAAGGGTAAGAGGAGTGGAGGAGGGAGATCACTGCATAACCATCGTGTCTGATTTATTTAGGATAGTCAGGGATGGGGAATGGGAACAGGGAATGCCGAGCAGGACTCAGGACGCAGTACTTCCGACTGGAATGAAGTATCAAATTGAAATCGAGACTTGGATTTTTCCAAAATGAAAGAGAGCCGAGAGGAAGGGCACCTTTCCCTTTGGATTATTACAGACTCATTTCTGCATCCCACGCCCATGCCTCGTGAACTCTGTGCCGCCTTTGCTTCGTGGGAACCCCAACCACAGCGGCGCACCAACCCGACACGGTTGAGTCACATGCCAGGGATGGCCCCGTGACTGCCAACAAGGGCGCAGGCCTTCCTCCAGCTCCCTGCCTCACATGTCTACTCAGCCACTGGCCAGCTGGCACATTTTCTCTCTAAACTTGTGCGAAGTATAGTTTATAACACCAATTTCCACGCAGCTCCTTCCACAGCCGTTTACATGAAACTCGGCGTGTCTGCACTTGGATTTGACTGTGTGGTTGGTGAAAGGGCCCCTGACAGTTAGCTGTGGGCCCTTCGATACTGGGGGACCTGCCTGATAAGAACAGACACCGAGCCCTTTTCCTTCTTGGTCGTAGAAAGCATTTGAGGTGGAGCGGCAGGAGCTCCTGACCAGCAACAAGAAGAAATGGGAGCGGGCGCTGCAGGCTCACAATGCCAAAGAGGTAGGGGCGGGGCGGGCGGGGCGGGCGGGGCGTCGGGCGGTTCGGGAGCCCGAGCGACCTCTGCTGTGACTGGAGAAGCTGGCCTTCCCGTGTGTTGGGGAGGATTGCCGTGCACTCGGTACTGCGCTTCGCAGCTCATCAGTGTGGCCTTGCAGAGGCGGTTCTCCCTGTCGGTGCCACCTTGGCAGCTCGCTGTGGTTTCCGTGGCCCTGTCACTTTCTCCTTTGTTTCCTGGGCATCCGCCTCAGCCGTGGCCATTTGTGACCCAAGAAAGTGTTCTAGGACACATGTTAAGGGCTGTGGAGTTAGCACTTTATTTCAGAGACCTAAAGAACAAAGAAATAACTTGACCAAGATTCATTTTTTACTTTTTAGAAATACAAACATCTGACTTCAGAGTCTGTGCTTTCTTTTTGTTTTCAGTTTATTTTTCAATTACAGTTGACCTACAATTTTATATTAGCTTCAGGTGTACGACTAGTGATTAGACATTTATAAACCTTACGAAGTGATTGCCCCATTAAGTCAGGGACCGCCCTGCACCGTACATCAGTGATGACAAGATTGCCGACTGCTCCCCATGCTGTCCTTTACACCCCCGTGTGTAACGTTCCTGACGGAGCATTCCCCGCTGAGTTCCTGGAGTAAGGACCCTGCTGAGCAGTACGAAGCCCTGGGCACAGGGGCTTCTGACAGTGACAGACTCCCTCCAGAGCCATGGACTCTTGCAGGAGTCCTCTGTCACACTTGTCAGGCCACCTGCGGACTGCGTCGGGGCAGGGGCAGGGCCTGACTTCCCTTGTCCTCCTGTGCCTTCAGCTGGAGTACCTTATGAACCGGCTCCAGAAAGTCGAGGACTACGAGAAGCAGCTGAGCAAGCAGAGGATATGGGATTTCGAAGAGTACAACACGATTAAGATCAAGCTGGAGCAGGACGTGCAGGTATGCCCCACCCTCAGCCCGAGCAGGCGCAGGGCGCCCGGGAACCTTGCATCCTCGGCGTCTGCCCGTCACGTTCAGAGTCGGTCCACTCAACAGTAGTTAGCGATGATCCGATCCCCTTTACATGGCCATATCTGAAGGAGCTGGTACAGGAAACACGCGGAGGAATGCTTTCGTCTATAACCTGAGGGAGAACCACCAAGATGCCTAAAGGGGTCTGGAAACCATGACCCAAGAGGAATTATTGAGAGAATTGTGCATTTTAGCCTAGCGCAGGGAAAGTATCCCTAGAGCAAGTTAGCCATGCCACAGGGCCAAAACTGGGACAGCGGCCATCTAATGAGTGTCCACCGTATTCCAGGCCCTGAAGGCAGTTTCTCTAACCCTCACACTAACATGAAAGGGAGAAACCACTAACAGCATTTCTATACCAGCAAAAGGCTCAGAGACAAGGCTACTTGCCAGGTAAATGGTGAACTCTGGATTCAAACCCGGTTCTGTCTGGCTCTGTCGCCTGCATCTTTGCTGTCATTCCAAACAGCCCCCCGGCTGGCGGCTGGACATCGCTGTAGGGCAGATTCTGACTCACCACCAGAAAGAACCGTCCAGTAGTTTGGACTATCCCGTGTGAAAAGTTTATACCTCAAAACAGAGCTCTTTATCTCATCAAATATTCAACGTCTGACTGACTGTTTCTGTCTTAGTGTAGCAGGATCCCTGCAGTGGATAGGAGGTTAGACTTCCTAGTTTCTAAAGTTCTTTCCAAGTCTAGGATTTCAGGTTTCAACATCCGTTTTAAAAGGTACATCTATACTTACATTTATTTTTTTTTTTATCCTCACCCGAGGACATTTTTCCATTTTTTGTTCAGGTAGAGTGGGAGGGAGAGAGAGGAACAGAGAGAGAGAGAGAAACATCGATGTGAAAGGAACACATCGAGTGGCTGCCACCCGCACAACCCAACCAGGGCCGGGGACAAACTGCAACCGAGGTACGTGCCCTTAGGGGGAACCGAACCCGGGTCTCTCAGGACCGCAGGCCGACGCTCTAACCGCTGAGCCAAACTGGCCAGGGCTATACTTACATTTAGATGCAATACAATTTCACCTTAATATTCAAGCTTGGTCTATTCATTTGTCTCTGTCTAGAAAAGTATGTTAGATTAAAGCTTTTCCACATAGCCTCCGGTAGAATTTTAGTTATTACTCCTCTTGTCGTTTTTACTTAAAGAGGTGAAACCCCATTAGACTACAAATATTTTTACCACTCTTGAGAATTTTCCTTGGCCTTTCTCATATTAAGGTCATGGAAATGAGAGTTACTGACAAAGAACAGTAGAGTCTGGAATAGAGCAGTACTACTTGTGTGGGCTGCATACATTACATTTTTAATGAAAATGGCTATTGTTAAGCTTTCTGAAGTTATCTTGGTTCTATGATAATTTATGTGACAAAACGATACACTGTTGATCTCAAACAGTGAAATAATAGAACTTCGTGTTCTTTTTTTGTTGTTTTGTTTTGTTTTTCTTTTGTGGTAAGAGCACTTAATATAAGATCTACCCTTTTAGCAAAATTTTAAGTATAAAGTATGGCATTGTTAATCACAGGCCCTCTGTTGTAGAGCAAATCCCTGAATTTATTCATCCTGTATAACTGAAACTTTGTACCTTTGACCAACTCCTCCCACTTCTTCCACCCCCAGCCCCAGGCAGCCTCCTAGCAAATTCTGCTCTGTGCTTTGATGAATTTGATTATTTTAGTTCCCACATATAAGTGCGCTTATGCAGATCTTTCTGTGCATGGCTTTCTGTGCATGTTTCACTTCCCATAACATCCTCCAGGTCCATCCATATCGTTGCAAATAGCAGAATTTCCTTCCTTTTTAAGGCTAATATTCCATTGTATGTATATGCCACACTTTCTTTATCCATTAGTCCATTGCTAGACTATTGTGAATAGGTGGTTTCCATAGCTTGCCTATTGTGAATAGTGCTGCCGTGAGCATGGGGGTGCAGCCATCTCTGCAAGATCCAGATTTCAGCTCTGTGGATGCATACCCAGAGCAGGGACTGCTGGAGCAGATAGATGCTAATTCTATTTTTAACTTTTTTGAGGAGCCTCCATATTGTTTCAATAGCAGCTGCACCAATTTACATTCTTACCAACAGTGTACAAGGGTTCCCTTTTCTCCACATCCTCACCAATACTTGTTATCTCTTGTCTTTTTGATGATAATCACCCTAACAGGTGTGAGGTGGTAGCTCATTGTACTTTGGCTTTTAATTTCCCTGATGATCAGTGATGTGGAGCACTGTTTTCATATACCTATTGGCCATTTGTATGTCTTCTTTGAGAAATGTCTATTCGGGTCCTTTGCCCATTTTCTAATCAGATAATATTTTGCTATTGAGTTGTAGGAGTGGAACCTCATGTTCTTAATCTAATTTTCAAATGCGTGAACAAGATAAAAAAATTCTGGGACATGGGAAGATTATGGGGGTTTGGAGGTGAGGGACAGAGAGGCAGCGAGCCTGGGAGACCTGGCTGTCCCTGTCTGGATGAACTAACAGCGGAGTGTGGGTGGGTGGGAGGCAGGCTGACGGAGATATTCAGAGGGGGAAAGCGTGTGCAATTCCTCTGCAAAACAGTTTTTTCCCCTGTGTTAGAATGAAAACCAAGAGTGCACTGTGCTGCATTATACCCTGGGAAAATATAATCAGATCAGGGACCTCCCTGATCTTGCGATGTGTGCAATATTTTAGTAGGTTGGACTTCATCATAGCGCCTCTTAGCTGCACTGGCACCGGACGCGAAAGTCAAGCAGCACTGATTTTGCCCGGTAGACATGGCCTGCAGCTCAACCTCAAGCGCGCTCCTCCTAACGAATTCATAGCACTGTATCAGTTCTGAAACATGGAACTAAACTTTTTGTAAATTACAAAAATGGAACAGATCTAATACACATAGGTTTGGTTTGATGGGTAAAGTGGAAAAAGGAAAAGGAAAAAGAATGTATGCTTTTCAAGCGCTTGCTGCCCGTAGGTCACATTGTGAATGAGCAGAGAGAAGCCTAGAAACACTGTGCACTCCGAGGGGTCTCACCACCTCGGCCCATGCCCAGTGAAACTGCTGGAAAAACTTAGTTCTTGTCTGGCCGGTGTAGCTCAGTGGTTGAGCGTCGACCCAGGCACCAAGAGGTCGCCGGTTCGATTCCAGGTCAGGACACATGCCCAGGTTGTGGACCTGATCCCCAGTGCGGGGCATGCAGGAGGCAGCCAATTGATGTTCTCTCTCATGGATGTTTTTATCTCTGTCTCCCTTTCACTTCCTCTCTATCTAAAATCAATAAAGGGGAAAAAAATAACAGTTCTCGATGCAGGAAGTACATTTTTTAAGGGTGTTACGTGCTTATTTAAACTTGTAGAATGGTTTAGTTCAACTTTAAGAGCTGTTACCTTTAATACTAGAGTATTAATCACAAAAAAATATTATTATTATTTTTATTACCTCGCTCCTGCCCTAATCACAAAAAATTAAATATGAGTTATTTGTTTAACAAATATTGTGAACTTATATTGTACAAAGCACAAAGATAAACACTACACAGCTCTAGTCCTGCCCCCAATGAACTTATAATCTTTTGAGTAAGAAAGATGTTTACACAGAGAGGGACACACACACACACACACACAAATAGTATAAAAAGTGAGACATGGGGTGGAAAAGGACAGTAAGCCGATAGGCTGGGTTGAAGTTGTAAGTCTGCAGTTCCAAAGTGGAGTCCAGGTCTCATTCCAGGGTCGAGGCTGGTGATGAAGAGGCCAAGGGAAAGGCTATTTTACATTTCCATTTTGCTGGGGCGCTGGTGGTGGTGTTTTCCAAAAGCAGCTGTGCGGAAGCTCAGACTGCCCCGGGGAAAAGGCAAGGTGTCATCAGCCTCTGCAGAACCTGTAACACTGAAGGACTTTGTGACAGGCTAGAATGTCATCTTTATAAACTATTCTCAAAAACCAAAGGTGATGTTTTGCCTTGGGAACATAAAGTACAACTTTGCAAAAATATCTTTGGATAATTGAAAAATAAGTGGGGACACTGAACAAAAGCAATCATTTATTTTAAAACATAAAACTATATTCAATGTGTGACAATCAAGAACAGCTGTATGTCGAGTCTAAAACCTGAGATAATTAGCAATAGAGTCACCGGTACTAAAATTATGGTGAGCATAGGTGTTACAAACAAATAATGAGTGTAATTTCTGTAATTGCCTGCTGTAGACTCTGTACGGTAAGAGGCCCAAGACTATGATTAATTCTGTAAGTTCAGTGACAGCACTGCCCATGACATCATAAATGTGAAGCCCCCAGGTCGTCCTGGGACAGGGCTGAGAGGAAGGAGTGGCTGGCAGAGTGGGGGGCAGAGTGGGGGGCAGAGGCGTACGGTCAGAGCTGCTGGTGCCTCCAGGGTCCGTCCTCGGGGAGTGGGCTCCAGCAGAGACCGGGGGCAGACACTTCCCACAAGAGGAAATGAATCGCTAGCAGATATTTAACTGCACGCACAAACAGAGCAATGTAAGTGAAAACAATCAGGTGACAGTTATTATTATTGTTTGCCTAGAAAGTCACCACAGATTTAAGTTCTTTTGGGTCACAAAGGAAAAGATAGGACCTAATTACTTTAGTTCAGGGTTTTTTAAATTGTGTTCAGTGAGGTGAAATATGAGAGGTGTTTTCACAAAATTAACAAAAACAGTGATGATAAATATGATATATACGTACTTCGTATATGATGAATTATTATATAAAAATATTATCCATTAAAATTATGTTAATAAAACTTTACTAGCATAGAAAATTACGTTGTAATATTAAGGGAGAAAAATTGGATATAAAATTGCAGTTACAGTTTGACCTTAAGTATGTAAAGGACACTGGAAGGACACTTATCAATATTTTAACAGAGTTGCCTTTGGAAAGTGGTTTCTCTCCCCCTCTCCTGTCTTTTTTTTCCTTACTGTACTTTCTGCATTTTCTACAATTAGCAAATATTACTTTCTGCATTTTCTATAATGAGCAATCAGGGGAAAAAAGTTTTACAAGGAAAGCTATATAACCAGTAAAAGTAAATAAAAATTTGACTAAACTAGTAGAGAAAATGAGAGGCACATTGGTTATAATCCCAGTGACCACAGAATACCTGCTAAAGAATAGATAGCGCCCTGGTGGCTCAGAGGCCCTTGAACCAAAGAGTCCTGGGTTCAATTCCGGCCAGGGGCATGTACCTCAGTTGCAGTTCGTCCCTGGCCCTGGTTAGGTCGGGGTCGTGTGGGAGGCAACCAATCGATGTGTCTCTCTCACATTGATGTTTCTCTCCCTCCCACTCTATCTGGAGATAAATAGGGGGAAAAAAAAGAATAGGTTTAAAGATCTCCAGGAGAGCCTGGCTGGTGTGGCTCAGTGGTTGATTGTCAACCCATGCACCAAAAGGTTGCCGGTTCAATTCCCACTCAGGACACATGCCCAGGTTGTGGGCCAAATCCACAGTGGGGGCATGCAGGAGGCGGCCAGTCGATGTTCTCTCTCATTGATGTTTCTACCTCTCTCTCCCTCTCCCTTCCTCTCTCTCTAAAATCAAGAGAGAAAAAAAAAAATTTCCAGGAGAGTTAAGTAGGGCACTGTTCACTAATCCCTGCAATGACAACGTGGTCCTGACTCACCCTCTGATGTCAGTGCCAGCTACCTCCCGGAGGATGACTCACAGCGGGTCAGGATAGCTGTCGGGAGTCCCTTCCTCTGTTGATTCCTTGGCAAAGAGGAGGGAGACGGGAAGGAGGTGTGGAGGAGCATGCACAGTCGCTGCCTTGCCAAGACCCGGTTCCTGCATTTCTCCTCACAGAAGGCGAGCAAGCTGTCTGTATCTGCCCTGCTGCTCTTCGCCCCTCCCTGACCGTTTCCTCACCCGCGGTCAGCACGATCTTTCTGCTCCGCCTGAACTGACACTGCACTGTTCTGCTCACCGTCCCCGTGGCCCTCCATCGCCTTCAGGGCGAGGCGTTCAGTTCCCAGCGTGGTCAGGCCCTGAGGCTCTGTCAGCCTCCTTTCTGCCTGTCCCCTGCCTCACAGCGTAAAGTGCTCGGGGTTTCCAGTTCTCTCCAGAACTTTCTCCTCTCAGGTGTCCGCCCGAGTAACTCCTACCCATTCTCCGGGTCCCTGTTAGGCATGCTAATGCCATCTTTTCAGGGGTACCTGCCCTGGCCTCGAAAGTGCTCCTCTCATTGGTCCTGCATCACCCTGTGCCCACCCCTCTCTTAGTTCTCACCACCTGTGCGTGGCATCTGTCCCCTCCTGGACAGGGCAGAACTGTGCCCGTTTCCCCGGCGCTTCCCCAGCAGCACCCCGTGAAGTGTCTGACGTCAGGCGCTCCGTAAATACGTGCTGAATGCTGAGTACAGCTCATGGACACCCCAGCAGGGAGGGTGGTTGTGTCTGTCCTCCTTTAAAATGAACACGGTTTGCTGAACACCCACACTGCCAGCTGGAAGGTCAGAGAGGGGACGTGGCAGGTTAGGTGGAAGCCTCAACCTTTCCGGGGTTTCTGGTGGGGCTGCTTAGGCCTCGAAAGGGTCTGGAGTGGAGTTCCAGGGGGTAACTTGCAGTGGAACAGTGATTTATATGTTTCTGGTGGGTCTTGAACTTGCCTCTGATGATAGTTTTTCTAAGGAGTCAGGTGGGACTCTGTCGTTAAGGTTCCTCTGATGTGACTCCAGAATGTGCTATCAGGGACCCTTGGTGTAACAAATTATACCAGCCAACTAGTACTATTTTTTTTAAACTTTAGATTCTTGAGCAACAACTTCAGCAAATGAAAGCAGTTTATCAGCTAAACCAGGAGAAGCTGGAGTACAACTTCCAGGTGCTGAAGAAGCGAGACGAAGAGAGCACAGTGATTAGATCCCAGCAGAAGAGGAAGATCAACCGGTGAGCTGCACAGCATCCTTCTTCCGGGCCCTTCCGTGCTGGAGATAGGGGCGGGCCTGTCTGCTCCATTTGCAGAAGTAAAAACTGGCAAACATAGAACTGATTCTTATTAAAAGAGGTTTTTAGAAAAGATAATACATTCCGCTGGTTCTACTGTCCTCCACCTTCTCCTAGAAAGGAGTACACAGCACAAAGTGAGCCGGGAATGTGGGATGTGGCAGGTCCCAGGGCGAAGAGGGAGGCACCAGAAAGTTCGATGTTTGATGAGGAGGTTGCGCAGGGGGAGAAGGGAGCTTGGTAAGAGGGGCGGGAGGCAGAGCTTGGGTTTGGTCCACACGGCAGAACCATGAGGGCAGCATCCCAGCATCCTGTCTTCACAGGCTCTTCCCTCTCTTTCAACTCCCCTTATCTTGAAAAACCCTTCGCCTGACCCTGCTGCTCCTCTGTGAGCACACTGTCTCTTTTCTGGTCTTGTCTCTACCGCCATTTCCTTTCCTTGTCACTTGCCCCTCCCCCTTCCCCAACATTCATAGTTTGACCTATGACCCCATAGTTGGACAGACACTTCCCTCTGTAGGGCACCAATGACGCCATTCCGGCCGAGCAGCGTGGCTTTCCCTCAGGCCCGCCCTGTTATTGTTGGGTACCACATCTCAGAAATGTTCGCCTCTGGTTTTCACGACTAAAAGACATGCTCTTCTTTCTCAATGTATTGGTTTCCTCGGGTTGTTCTGCTTATCAGGGAAGGCCCTGATAAGATATTGCACTTTATTTATTTATTTTTATCCTCACTCCAGGACATTTTTCCATTTTTTGTTCAGGTAGAATGGGACGGAGAGAGAGGAACAGAGAGAGAGAGAGAGAGAGAAACATCGACGTGAAAGGGACACATCGAGTGGCTGCCACCCACACGACGAACCAGGGCCGGGGACAAACTGCAACCGGGGTACGTGCCCTTAGTGGGAACCGAATCCGGGACTCTCTGGACCTCAGGCTGGTGCTCTAACCGCTGAGCCAAATTGGCCAGGGCAGATATTCTAGAAAGCATTTTACCTACCCCTCCTTTTTTACTTCATTGCCCTGAACATCAGCCTCATGGCTTTGAATATTGTCTCTTTGTTGATGACTATGAGCTTCAATTCCCAGTCCCGACTGCACCTGCTGGCTTTACCTGGGACTGCCAACAGGCATTTCCTCTTGGAGCATCGCGGGCGTGTCCAGTGGACAGTTTCTGGAGCCAGCCTTGCCGACCTTCCCAGGTTTCCAGTCCCCTCCTCACTCCCCTTGGTCTCCTGCTCCCAGCCAGGCACTGAGGACTTGCCTCTGCAGCCATCGTCCCTGTCCACTCCCTGCTGCCCCGCTCAGACCTTCGGTGTGCCTCTTGGTTTCATTCGCTTCTCCAATTAGATGGCATAAAGAAGTCTCTTCACTAAATGACGCTGAAAAAATACTTTGCGATGGCTACTTCAAAAAAAATTTTTTTGACACCTATATTTGGAAGGTCTCCTAGAAGGCTATAATTAAGAAAATGAATTAGATATTTCTTTTTATCAGAGACTAAGTTAACTCATTTTCACGTATTATTGAGGATGAAAGTATGAATGATCAGTGTTTGTGTTTTAAGGGCCTTTTGATGATTTCAGAATAATGCTTAAGAGGGAAATTTTTATTTCTAGAATTTTTAAATGTCAAATATGTCAGCCTTCGGCCTCTCTGTTTCTGTGGAAATGGGGCGCTGACATAAGACACCTCCTCAGGAGTTAGAAGTCTGGCCTCCGGTGCTGGGTCTTGAGCTATGCGTGCTCTGCATATTTCATGGGCCAAGTTTCCATGTGCAGGGCTCCTGTCAGTGTGAGGTGGGGAGTGTGGCCCGCCTGCTTTCACGGTGCTATTGGCCAGGTTAGAATGTCCCTGTGCGGGGACCTCTGACCACTCCCCTCCCCTGCAAGCCAGGGTGGGTTAGGAGCCTCACCTCTGGGCTCCCCTGGCACTGGTGTAACTCTCCTGCGCCATTTTTCACACCGTACTGTAATTAATGTGTGTCTTTGTCTCTGATTGGACTGATATCCTTCTAGTCATCTTTGTGTTGGAACATATCTTTGGCACGGAAGAAACCTTGCATGTTTGATAAATGAATAAGTGAAGGAATGAGTGAAGGAATGATTGAGTTATTGAACCTATTAACAGTATCAGCTCTTTGAGAGTGGAGGACTCATATATTGTAGGCTTGTGACGTGCAGTTTTAATCTTTTTCTTTCTTTTATGCCTTCTTTCTGAAGGTCAGAAGTTGAGAGGGATGATTAAATATGTGAGGTTGGTACTAGATAGGAACATCTAAAATAGTGTGTTGAGGAAGATTCAGTCCCACCCTTGAATAGGAGATGGACTCTGGGTGGGTTTGGGCTTCTGGGCTGTTTTAAATGTGTTTAGTTCTGGGTGGTCCCGTGACCTCCTGTTGCTTTCCTGTCTTTGATCACAACTGGAGCTGTGTTGGGGAATATGTGGGTGGGTTTTCCACCCTTCCACAAGTCTGATCCTGGGTTCTCTAGAACTGAGCAAAGTAGATGAAAGGAACATTACTCATTCTGTTCAGCAACTCTAACTCCTTTTTCCTCTTCAACCCAGCCTGCATGATATAGTTAACCATCTGAGATCAAAATATGCCAAGCAGATAAAGCAATTTCAGGAGGAGAACCAGTCCCTGACCTCAGACTACAAACGCTTTGTGATACAATTCAAGGAGCTGCAGAAAGCCATGAGGTATTTGAGGGACTTGGTCTTAGAACAGAGGCTGCAGGGGTAGAGCTGGTGGTGGCTGGGATCTCATGAGATTCTGATATCAGCAGATTTTCTGGAGCTGGACCAGGGCACTAAAGAGTCCTTTGTGCTGTCTTCCTTGTTCCTCCATTTGCATATCACCTGCCTTTTCTTTCTTTTTTAAAGTTTTTTTTGCTTTTTAAAGAGAGAAAAAGGGAAAGAGAGATGGAAACATCAATGTGAGTTAGAAACATTGATCGCTGCCTCCTGCATGCCCCCTACTGGGGATTGAACCCACAACCCGGGCATGTGCCCTGATGGGGAATTGAACCTGCAAACTTTGGTGCATGGGACTATGCTCAATCCACTGAGCCACACTGGCAGGGCTGCCTTTTCTTGATGGGATGTCTTTCAGTCTATCATAGGTGAGGGTCAGTGGCCCAGGGATTGGGCCAGGCCTAGGAATTACCACCGATCTGTCTCAGTTCTTGCTCTCCTACTAATGGAAGGGCCCCTAGCCAGACCATGCTCAGTAACTCTCCTTCACAGGCATTTTGCTCTTACTGATGACAAGAAGTTTCAGGAGATTTGGCTGATGAATGAAGAAGAGGCGAAGGATCTGATAAACAAGGCCTTTGATGTAGACAGGATCATCCACACCCATCATATGGGGCTCCCCTGGACGGCACCTGACTTCTGGTTTCTGAAGAACGTGGGGCCCATATCTCAGCAGCGGCAGAAATCCGTCACACAGATATTAGAAGAAGTGCTGATGCACACAGGTGACTAGATCATAGAATCTTAGGACTGGAGGGTCCCTCTGAGAACAGCAGGTCGTCCCATTCATTTCTCATACACTACACTCTAGAGGAGAAGAGGTCTCATAGCTAAGAGGTCTGTAGGGTACGATCAATTGACATGGCTTTTAAGCCTCTCATTTATAGCTTTACCCTCTCCCTGTATTATAAACGGAAGTTAGATCTAGAAGCTTCACATCAGATTCAGGTTCAGTTTATTTTTGCTCTGCACCTCCATGGGGATAAACTAAGGTCAGGTTGTCTCTCTTTTTTTGTTTGTTTTTTTTATCCTCACCTGAGGACAATTTTGCATTTATCTTCAGATAAAGCAGAGAGAGAGAGAGGGAGGAGGAGAGAGAGAGAGAGAAACATCGATGTGAGAGAGACACATCGAGTGGCTGCCACCCATACGACCCCAACCGGGGACGAGGACAAACTGCAACCAAGGTATGTGCCCTTAGTGGGAACCAAACCTGGGACTCTCTGGCCCACGGGCCTATACTCTAACTGCTGAGCCAAACCAGCCAGGTCAATATAAACCATTTTTTTAGGTAAATGAGAGCATATGCTTTTCTCCACCTTGCTTTTTTCACTTACAGTATATCCTAGAGATCCGTCTTTAGTAGTCAGAAGAAATATTCTTTATTCCTTTTTTATCTGGTACTCTATTGTATCACTGGGCCACAACTTATTCAAGTAGTCCTCTGTTGATCATTTGGGATATTCCCAGTTTTTTGTTTGTTTGTTTTTGCTGTGACAAACATTGCTGCAGTAAATAGCTTTGTGCATTTGTGTTTCCACGTTTTACTGGTGAATTGTTGGGCTAGATCCCTAGAAGTAGGAGTGCTGGGTCAGGGGTAAAAAGCTCTGTAATTTTGTTGGATATGGCTTTGTAGGGTGGTACCTGTTTGCATTCCCACCAGCAATTTCGTCTTGTACTTTCCAAAATCTTTTCATATATATTATCTCATTTCACCTTTTGAACAACTAGTAAAAACTGGGTAGTATGATGATTTTTATTTCTATTTTCAGATGAAGATAAAACACTTAAAATCATTTGATTTTATTTATTATTTTTTCAAATCTTCACCCAAGGATATGTTTTTTATTGATTTTGAGTGAGTGAGAGAGAGAAAGAGAGAAAGAGACAGACATCAATATGAGAGAAAAACATCAATCAGTTGCCTCCCGTACGTGCTCCAACTGGGAATCAAACCTGTAACCTAGGTATGTGCCCTGACCAGGAATCAAACCTGCAACCTTTTGGTGTAGGGGATGATGCTCCAACCAACCAGAACACCTGGCCAGGATAAAAAACATTTCCAATTCGCCCTGGCCGGTTTGGCTCAGTGGTTAGAGCGTCGGCCTGCGGTCCTGAGAGACCTGGGTTCGGTTCCCGCTAAGGGCACGTACCTCGGTTGCAGTTTGTCCCCGGCCCTGGTTGGGTTGTGCGGGTGGCAGCCACTCGATGTGTCCCTTTCACATCAATGTCTCTCTCTCCTTCCCACTCTATCTGAACAAAATATCCAAAAATGTCCTCAGGTGAGGATTAAAAAAAAAATTTCAATTTTAATTAAGAAAATATTTGGCTCTTACTATCAGCTACTGATTCTTGCTGGTAATATTCTTCTGTGAGGTGGCCGCCTGCCCCGCCCCTACGTGGGCTGCTTCTCATCTGCTGGGGTTTAGGAACCAAACGGCACATGTGCTGGCCGAGCCCGAAACACGAGGGAATCGTCTCACGCTCTCCGGAGATCCCCATTCCTGGTCATGGCTGGATTTTGAGTAAGATGTTTCCAGGTGGATGAAATTTGGAAAAGCGGGCAATATAGGCTGTCCAAGAATGGCAGAATTCTCCAGATAGTCTCTTGTTTTGACCTGTTTTCCTCCATATTGGGCTTTCTTCAGTGAAAGAGACTTGACAGTCTTGTAAAGAGGCGGTTCAAGAGGTGAATTTTCTCAATGGAAGGCATTTGACTGTATTTCAAAGTCAACCAGGTCAAGGGATGATCTTTTTCTTTCCCTCTCTCTCTCCTTTCTGTGCCCACCTGCAGAAGAGGAGAGGGCGGGAGAGGCCAGCTCAGAACCAGAGTCTTACCTCGACCTGCCGAAGCAGGTCTCAGCGGACACGACCAGGAAGATCCTGATGCTGCTGTGTGACGAGTCGGTGAGGGGCTGCGCAGAGGGCTCCTGGCGGTGGCCGCCGACTTGCTCTCGCCACTGGCGTGCAATCCTGCTGACTCCGGCCGGGCCAGATGCGGCCTGGAGGCAGGAGCGGACTGGCCCTCAGGAGGATTGCTGGGGACGTTACAGCCCAGCCATGCCTCAGACCTGGCCCAGCTGGCAGATGGGTTCTCCCCTCGCAGGTCGGCCAGGTGTAGTCTAGGCTGGCCAACAGGCTCCTGCTAATTTTTTAAAAAAGCTCATTCTGGGAGAGGATGGGCGCAAGTGTCGCCTCTGTGAACCTATCCTCCAATTAGTGTGGCCACAGCTGGCACGGCCCTTCTCCGGGACTCCGTTTGTTCGCAGTGGCTGTGGGTGTTCCCCGTGGCTGTGGGCGTTCGCTGTGGCTGTGGGCATTCGCAGTGGTTGTGGGCGTTCCCCGTGGCTGTGGGCGTTCGCCGTGGCTGTGGGCGTTCCCCGTGGCTGTGGGCGTTCGCCGTGGCTGTGGGCGTTCCCCGTGGCTGTGGGCGTTCCCCGTGGCTGTGGGCATGTTGGGCTATGGCTGTCTGACTGCGTGTTAGTGGCACCCACAGGCTTAGGGATAGGGCTGCCTCGGAGCTGGCTCAGCTGGAAGTTAGGGTGTTACCAAACATGATGGATGTTCATTTAGATTTTACAGTTGTGAGGTGATGGCAGAGGTGGAGCAAGGATCAGCAGCCCCAGTGCCCTTGGGACAGGTGGGCTGGTTTCTTTGGCACACAGGCCAGCTCCAGCCGAGGCAGCTCCTGCTGAAGGAGGCAGCTGGCAGGTGTCCCCTCCGTACTGCGGGCTCGCTGCCAGGGCCACCTTCCACTGCCTGCCTCCACCCTTTCGGTGCCTGCGGTGTGTGCTGTAGCTGTGTGGGGACTAGTGTACCAGCGAAGTGACATTGGGTGGCTGGGAAGCTGTGACTGGATCAGGCCTGGTGGGCACCTCGGGTGTTTACCCAGGGACTTGCATGAGAAATGAGTCAGCGCCCTGCTGAGGTGGGGGGACCAAGTCCACGATGAGGACTGGCTTTGCTCCTGGGAAGGGCTCTAAGCACCCCAAGAAGGCCTTCCTCCGGGGAACCGCTGCCCAGGCTTGTCCCTGGGGTTGTGCTCCAAGGAGTCATCCTGGCTGGTTACAGAGGAGCTGCAGACCTGGGACGCGCTCCTGAAAGCTCTCTCTGACTGGAGATGTCTTCCCTGCTCTCCTCAGGGCTTCCTCATCGAGAGCAAGCTGCTGAGCCTCCTCCTTCCCCTGGAGAAGAGCGAGCGCTACCTGCTGAGGCTGGACGCCATGTTCTCAGTGAGTCTCAGGGGGACGAGTGGCCACGAGGGGGCCTCGTTTTAAGGCAGCCTCCTAAGTTTGTCCAACATTGCCTCAGCCCTGGGAGTAGATGTGGGTCTCCAGGGCCTCCCTGGGCTCCCCGTCCCTTCCCTTCTTCACCTCCTCTCCATGCACCCAGTTGGCCTCAGAGTCATTTTGGTGTCTCCCAACCCTGGCCTTTCCTCGGCTAGCTTCTCTCTCGTGGCCCAGGCCTCAGACGGCAGACTCTCCCCCACACCCCTAAACTCAGATGTGTGTTCAGCCCCCTTTAGCATTCTTGTACCCAGGCCCGTGTGGAGCAGGTCCTGCCCCTGAGACTTAACTCTGTTCTGTGCGTGTGTCCCCTATTCACTGCACTGTCCCATGTTGAATGGCTTCTACTCTGGGCCAGCGCAGGTGCCAGGGATGCTGAGGGGAGCAAGCTGAGCCTCTTGCTCCCAGGAGTGAGGGTCTGCCAGCCCCGGCAGCAGGTGGACTCCTGACGTGGTGTGGGAGCAGTCCTTCTGTTTCTCCCTCAGGCCCTTGGAATCGAAAGCGAGGATGACTTGTATAAACTGGTGAACTTCTTCCTTAAATACCAAGCTCATCATCTACCCTCCAGCCAGGTGAGTGAGGTGTAACTGAAAACAGAGCATTTTAAAGCTTCCTGGAAGCCCCCATAAGGCATTGCTACCACTGAACGATATTTCTAGAGAAACAATGAGGGTTTTATGGCAGGGATAGCTAAGTTAGCATTTTCCTTTTTTGTTATTGCTTTTTCTGTTTGCAAAGGGAAGAATGGCTGGGGATGAGAGGCTGTTCTCATACTGAGGCCCAAGAGGTCTTTTCCTGGGCCTCCCTCAAAGCCAGGCCTTCCAGGTGCGATCCGGGCCCACCAAGTTACCAACATTTGATCCATAACACTTTCCTGCAAAGCTGAGCCCACTTATAAGGCCTATCTTGACTGTAATGGGCTATTCTGAGGAAGTCATTAGGATAAATATACAAGATTTTAATTTAAAAATTAAAAACTTGAATTCAAAAGATGTTTTTAATATTGCTAGCCCCAGTGTGAGTATCCTGATATGTTTCTAAAAAGAGTTGGTCATGTGGACAAAAGCCAGAAGCCATAAAGAAAAAAACTCATAGTGTCCCATGCCAGAGCACATTGTGGCCTTGAACCATTGTCTGGCTTCTGCCGGTAGGCTGCAGGCACTGAAGGGGGTTGCACAGTGGGAAAAAAAAGAAGAGTAAGAAAAGGATATATTTGACTATATTTAAAAAATTCTGTAGGGCAAAAGTCACTATAAGTAAAGTTGAAATACACATGACAGCTGGGAGAAAATATTTCTAACTAGTGACAGTTACGAGCTAATTTCCTTAATATATAAAGAATTCCCATAAACCAGTAAGAAAAGGCCAGCTCTGTGGAGCAGACAAGGGATCTGAATAAACGCCTCCTAGAAGAGGCAATACAAATCACTTTTAACCATATAAAAAGATAATGAAGTTTTCTTGTAATAAGAGAAATGCAAATGAAAACTGCTCAGATTTATTTTCACCTGTCAGTTTGGCAAAAATCTGCAAGTTTGAGAACACATAGTGATGGTTGAGGTGTGGAAAGCAGGCTCACTCACAAGTTGCTAGTGGGAGTGTAAATTGTTGCAGCCTTCATGGAGGGCAGTTTGGCAATATCAATTACAAAACTATATACCTTACCCTGCAATTCCTCTTCTAGGACACACACACACACACACACACACACACACACACACACTTGAAATGTTTTATTGTAGCTTATTCATCGCAGCATTGTTTGAAATGGCAGAAGATTGGAGACAACTGAAATTTGTCTCATTAAAGACTAGATTAAATAATATATGGTGCATCTACACAATGGAATACTATGCAGCTGTAAAAAGGAACAAAGAGTTCTTTGTGTATTTATTCAATGAGATCACTAAGGTTAATTGGTATGTGAAAAGAGTGAAGTGCAGAATTATGTATGTTGGATAGCATCACTGATGTAGAAATGGGATGGAAAAGCATGTGCTTGTATGGGCATAATATGTCTTTGGAAGGGTTTGGAAGAAACTGACATTGGTTTGTTTGTGGGAAGTAAACTGAATGAACTGAGAGACAGGAGTAGAAGAAAGACTTTTTGAAATTTACAAATTAAAATTTATTTTGTATTATGATTCAAAAGGAGGTACATGTCATGTAGGCTTTATGAATGCCAGTAAACGAGCCCCTGAGCCCAGATTTAGAAATAGAGCATTTTCATGGTCGTGAAACCCCCTTGCGGCTCTCTGGTCCCCTCCGCTCCTTCTCTTTTCATTATTTTTTTTCTAGTGTAAATGTCTCCCTTTGATCTTTTCTGTAATTTTCTATACATTTTTCTGTCTTTTTTTTTTTCCTGTCTGTCTTTAAATTTTTTTAATTGATTTTGAGAGAGAGACACTGATTTGTTGTTCCACTTATTGATACATTCATTGGTTGCTTCTTGTATGTATCCTGACCGGGGATTGAACCTGCAACCTTGGCATATTGGGATGATTTTCTAACCAAGTGAGCTAACAGCCGGGGCCACTTTCACTCTGTCTGTATATGCTCATGCTTGTGTACTCCCCTCCCAGAGTTACCTCTGGCATCTTTCTCCAGATCAACCCCTGGCATCTGTCACTCCCTACAGGAGCAGACAAGCCCAGTGTCAGCCTTGGAGCCAGCAGAGCAGCCAGACCTCAAGGGAAAAGAGGAGGAAAGTCTTGTGGAAGAGAAGGAGTCCCCCTCTTCTCCCAGGCTCATACACCCCAATGATGTCCTTAAGATTCTGGAGGCCTTTGTCAAGGGTCTGAAGAAGCCCAGGTGGGCTGCGGTGCAAGGTCTTGCCTGAGAACTGGGGAAGCAGATGGGATGAGGGGCCAAGCAGATGCCATTGAGGGGAAAGGAGGCTGCTGAGCAAGAACTTGGGGGTGTGAGTAAAGGGATATGAGAAAAGAGGGCTAGAGGAGTCAGTGACATCATAATGAAAGAACTGGTGCGTAGAAGTGATTTCTTTCATTCGTTCGTTCGTTCATTCATTGGCATCTGCTATGTGTAGGCCCCATGGGAATAACACCATGTAATCAGAACAGTGGTCAAAGCATATGCAAGGTGTCACGTTGTGCAGAGGAGGAAGTAGTCAACTCCATTGGCACGTCACAGGGCTTTAGGAGGGGGTGGCACTGGAACTGGGTTTTCCTAGTTGGATAAAGTTGGGGGGGGGGCATTTCAGGATGTCAGCATGGGGAAAGGCCCGCTGTATTCAAGAATCATAGCAGAGAGGTATGGCGAGAGTATCGGGTGTGGTTCGTGGGACCGGTGGGAAGGAGACCAGGGCAGATCTTGGAAAGCCTTGCCTAATGTGCCCAAGGTCTTGATCCACCCGCTAGTGGACTGGGGCCGGAAACAGATCCTAAGCAGTGGGGGAGCTGTGATTAGGCTTGCACTGTAGAAAGATCATTTTGGCAACAGGGAAGGGAGGCGATGTGGGTACAAGGAGAGCAACGGGAAGGTGGAGGTGAGATTCTGGATCAAGGCTATCCTAGAGGGGATGGAGAGGCGATGACAAAGTTTGAGAGCCGTTTTGGATGCATTAGTGAGACAAATGGCCATAGTAATGAGCTTTAAATCCAGTGAGGTAAACTGAGAGGAAAAGGGTGGACAGTCTCCAGTGGTGCTCACAAAGGTGACAACGGCCCCAAGAATCAGCCACAGTGATGACACACGTGTCCTTTCTGAGAATCTCCCATAATCCGATAAGCTTGTAGAACTGACTGGGAAGGTGACAGGTGGAAAAGCAGCTAGTCTGTGAGGGACAGGCACTGTGACTGGCAGTGCTTGGGGGCCTGGGTGGTGCCAGGTGGACTTGATGGCACCAGTGCCCTTGACCTTCAGGGACTTTCGAGCACCAGTGAAGTTGCTGAAGGATGTGCGAGATAACTCCAAGGACTCCGAGTACTGGAAGGCCCTGGCCACGGTTATCCCTGACACCACGCAGAACCTCTGGGATAGTCTATACACAGCCTTGGAGAAATACCAGTGAGTGTGTGTCATGGCCCAGGGGGAGGAAGCTGGGCAGGGAGTGGGAAAGGATCCTGCTTGGAGCGGCCGCTTTGCCACCTCCCTCTCCATGAACTCTTGGAGGGGAGCTGCCTTTGGCAACTCCAGTTGGGGGTGTGCAGTGCTGGTGACTGGCCCTCTGGCCCTGCTCCTCTGTTCTGTTCCCGCTAGCCTGGCTCTGTCCAGGCAGGAGGGCTGTTCTGGTGCGTGCGGCTTCTGGGGTCCTCTTCCACCTCTAGCCAGAACAGAAACATAGATCCCTGGCAGAGGATGGAGGAGGCCATGGGTGTCTCACTGATTTTCTGCCCAAAGCCTCATCCTGACCCAGAGGGCCAAGCTGCTGCTAGAAAACGATGAGCTGGAGCAGCAGAACTCAGAGCTCCAGATGCTGTTGCAGCAGTACCTAGATGCCAAGGTGGGTGAGGGGACCCTCCGAGCAGGTGGGGGGAGCAGGAGGCTGGGGGGAGGGGGCACTGGGGCTGCTATTAGGAAATGAGCCCCTCCCCCACCAGAGGCAAGTGAGCTTTGAGATGCAGGTTGTCATGGTATCCGTGATGCCCATGGTTCTGGGCACCAGCTGCTCGTTGGACCACTCTCAAAAGCAGTGCCAGGGCTACTGATATGTCACAGCTTGCTGGGCCCTTCCAGAGTTTTCTTCTTTGGTCCTAACAACCAGTCTGTAAGGAAGAGAGGACAGAAATGCTTTCCCCCTGCCACAAAAAGGGGGATCAGAACCTGGAGACTTGGTGACTTGCCCAGAGCAGGGGCTCTCCCCGCTCTGCCAGCCAGTTGTCTGGCCTGGGATGTAACATGGGCAGAGGAGCATCCGACTGCTGCCGAGATTCCCTGGCCCCCACTTGCGCCCACTCTCATGACAGTTGGGCAACTTCCCCATGGCTTGACAAGAGGAGGAGTCTCACTGTCTCTGCTCCCTTTGGTTCGTAACACATTTGCTGGCGGGGTGTCCTTCACACGGTGCTGAGGTCGTGGACCAAGGGCTTTGTGACAGTGGGCTGAGCACAGTTCCTTTGCATCAGCTCTGTGTGAGAGGTGACAGGCCAGCCACAAGCCCAGGCACTGGGGCTGTGGTCCTGTGTGGTCTTGGGCTCAGGCTACACCTGAACAGAGGATGTGGGAAGCTTGTGTATCATGATGACCTCTTGGCCTGTGACAGGATTCAGATTTAGGGGACCATGTGGTCCACCCGTCCATCGATGCTCCTGTGTATAAGAGGATGGGGAGGAGGAGGGAAGCGCAGGGCTAGACTGGAGATGGGATGGCAGGTGAAGAGGGAAGAGGATTTTAGAGGATGGATCAGAGTGGAAGGTTAAGAACACTCAGAACAGCAGCCGAACAAGAAGTCCTGGGACTTGTCTTCTGAAGGAAGGCAGCTGTGGGCTTTCCCAGATACCTAGAAGCAGTTGGGGAGGAAATGCAGGGATCCAGAGGCCTGTGGGAGAGTCGACCTGTGCACCTGACCCCAGAGGTCCTGCAGAAGGAGGACCCTGGGGAAAACGGTAATGACCTTTACTCCTTCTTTTCCAGATAAACTCGGAACTGCAAGTTCCTCCGACTCAGGTGTTCCAGATCCCCACAAAGTCGAACCAGAACTGAAATCGTGCTGTTAGAGCGGACCGTGTTGGTGTTGGTGCCGGAGCGCATATGTGACCCGGGAGCAGTAGGGCGCACTGTGCATTTCCCAGAGCTGCCACCGGAAGGTCACAGAGGAGTCACCTGTATCCTGCAGTCATGATTAAAGTCTTTGCAAACTTGTGGCAGAATCTTTTTAAGGAGGTCAGGTCCAGAGAGACACGAGCCGCTACCCCACCTTATGTCATGAGAGGACCTTGTCCCCAGCCTCAGACTGTGGCATGAGAACAGGCACATTACTGTGAGATGAGGCCCAGGCCAGAGGCATGGGGCTCCCTTGCTGTTTGGGGGGCAGTTGGTGTCTGTGCATGGAAGCTGGAGCTTTGGGGCAGCTTGTGGGGTCTTACACTTTCAGACTGTCCTTGGGCCTGCAGGACCCTTTTGGTGAATTTTTGGGAGCCGTGGGGGCCCCCAGGATGTAGGGTGAGGCTCCTCCCGTGGGCAGCCTGGGCAGGTGGCCCTGTACCTTAGTCCTGCCTTGAACCCTGGGCTATGAGGCCACCCAAAGGAAAAGCCAGAGGGGCCAGCTGGTACTGAGTTTGCCAACCTCAGGGTGCCCACCAACCCTGCGCCCCACACCAGTCCCCGCACGTGAGCAGACTTTGCAGCCCAGAGTTTGATTTCTTTTATTAAGAGAAAAGTCACCACTCAAGATAGGAAAAACAGCCAAGAGAAACCCAACCCACGCAGGCAGGGGCAGCAGTTCACGGACGAACTCCCGCTGCAACTGGAGGGACCGGAGGGGCCGCTGTGCAGGGTGGGGAGGGCACAGGGGTTCACTCTCACTGCCCCTGGGGGGCGCTTGTGGGCACTAGCCGGGGCGGGGGTGGGGGGGGTGGGGGGGGGCACGGGAGGAAGCCCTGGAAATCTGTAAAAACCCACAGGTGGGCGGGGCTGGGGGCTGCCTGGGCAGGAGGCGGGGCCTCGGAAGTGCGCAGGGGCGAAAGCAGCCACCCCCGGGATTAGTAGGAGGGGTCTGGCCCACTTTTGCAGAGCAGGGACTGGTGGTGCTGCCCTCACAGGCTTATGTCTGGGGAGGGGAGGGGAATGTGATGCTTTTTGCTCGTTCATTTTTTTTAAAGCCCTGGGCACTGGCCCATGACATGATTCTGTTCATTTCATTAAAGATTTAATCCTTCCCTGGAAGGCCTCGGGAGGGTTTGGGGTAGCTTCCTTAGGAGCCAGGGCCTGAAGCAGGTGGTGCCTCAGCAAGGTGGGGCCGACCCCACCCCTGCCCCACCCCCCACCCCGTAGGCAGGACCAGGCGGGCAGGACTGGGTGAGCAGCAGGTTGGGAAGAGAGGACGTGCTGTGGGGCATCACCAGCCCCGCGAGCAGAAGACAGGCTCCTGGGACCGAGGCCTGAAGGGTGGACACGGGGCTCCTCAGGCTCCCCAGGGAGTCTGGAAAGTCCACGCCAGGGAGGGGCAAACGCACTGGCCCAGGAGGGGGCTGCGGGGAGGCTGTGGGGCTCAGGCCCCCAGGAGCTTCTTGACCATGTAGCCCGGGAGGCTGTAGAGGAACAGGCCCAGCATGAGCAGTGCCAGCAGCGCCAGCACGATCTTGATGATGAGCCACTTGTACCGCGTGCAGATGAGGTACTTGATGGACTTGAGCGGGTTGAGGAACCAGACGAAGGCGGTGTCGGGCCGGCTGCGGGAGGGGAACTCGGTCAGGCAGTGGGCAGCACCCACAGAACTCCATCCCCTCAGCCCTTCTAGACCCCTAGACCTGGTCCCAAAGGCGTGAGTGCTGGGTACAGGATTTGAGCCCATTTCTAAACCCCCGGTCTGCTGCTGACATTTCCATTCGCACAACCCGCTGGCGTCCCACCGCCCTCCCCAGTCTGGCGGGCACTTCTGGCCTGTGGGCAGCCATGGCGGCTCACTGCCCGCGAGGCAGCCCCAGCCACAGGCCTTCTGAGGGCCTGGAAGCCCCTCTGCCCAGCAGTTCACTGTGAGGGTGCGGGGCACCCTGCCTTGTCTCAGGGAGACCAGTTTCTCAACCTCTCCGCCTTCCTGACCAACCTACGCTTCTCTCAAGGGTCTGGGAGCCCCAGTGGGGTGCAGCCCCCCTCCCCGACCTGCCCCCTGCCAGGGTGGGATTGCTGCATGGCCCTCCGGCCAAGGAGTGCGAATCAAGCTTTACATTCTGTTGTTTGTGTTACAAAGCAATAGGTTTTACAAAATGTCAAGATATAAAATTAAAGTACAAATATGTTTTTTCAAACTCCTGCCCTGCTGACTCCTGGAGGACTGGACTGCAGCCCCAGAACTGTGCTCAGCACGGGGGGGGCGGGGGGGGGGCTGCAGAACGGGGCGTGGGTGCAGGGCACCTGTTTCCAATCCCAGCTGGCACAGGCAACTGCGCACCTCTGTGAGCCCCGGTTTCCTCACTTGTACCATGGGCTAACAGCAGCCCCTACCTCCAGGGCTGGTGAAAGGGTGGGGGCCAAGCTCTCAGCACAGAGCCTGGCACCGAGCAGGTGCGCAGCAGATGGTGGCTACTAGGATGTTGGAACTGGGTGGAACTACTTATTGTCCTGCAGGGCAGAACTGGGTGGAACTACTTGTCCTGTGGGTGGGCAGGTGGATGATGCAGGAACTGCTGGCTGAGACTAGCCAAAACCTTGCCCCTTTCCCTGTTCATATCTCAGCTTCTTTCTGCCGATGGCACTGAGTTAGTCTGTCAGGAATGTCACGGGGAGAGGAGGTGTGTAGTCTGAATGCTGGGTTGGCAACCTGGAAACCTAGCTGAGTCCTAGCTCTACCCTAATTCGCTAGGGGACCTTGGGCACATTACTTCCCCTCTCGGGCCTAATATGCAATCCTGTAAAATAGTCATTTCCAGTTCTGAGAGCCTATGAAACCACTTGAAAGCTCGAAAGCTCCTGAGTGTGTGTGCATGTGCGCGTGGGCATGTGTGCGCTTCACGTGCTGTCAAGCTCATGAGCCTGAGGTGCAGAGGAAGGAGGGAGGAGTACCAGGCCCAGGAGGATCCGGGCTCAGGCCCCAAGGATCTTCTTGACCAGGTAGCCAGGCACAGAGTAGAGGAAAAGGGCGAGGAGGAGCAGCAGCAGCACGAGCAGCAGCAGCTTGAGGAGCAGCCAGCGGTACGTGTGCCACAAGAAGTAGCGGGCAGACTTGAGAGGGTTCAAGAACCAGATGAAGCTGGTGTCGGGCCGGCTGGAGCAGCAAGAGGAGCAGAGGGAGCACGGAGAGAGGACGCAGAGGGTGAAGGCTCGGGCAGTGGAAAGGGGGCCCGGCCAAGAGGGGTGCCACCCTGGGCGGAGTAGTTCCCAGGAAGGCGTAAGAGGGCAGAGGTACTTGCAGAGTGGGGGCAAGAAGACCGGAAGGTTCTGGCCCCTCCTTTCTGTTTTAGTGCTTCCACGGACCAGCATGGCAGGGGCTTGGGCTGGCAGGGCACTCACTTAGGTTTCTCTAGGGGGTCAGGTTCATTTCGGGCAAGGCCCACTGGATTCTTCTCCGCCTCCTCGGCTGTCAGTAGATGCAGCTCAGCCTCCACCTTGCCCTGCAGAGAGGAACAGAGCTGTCCCAGTGCTGGGCCAGGTGCTAGGCCCGCGGCACGGGCTCAGCCCTGCCCAGCCAGAGCAGTGGCAGTGCTCACCGTGAGCTCAAACTCGTCATTCTCATTCCGGGCCAGGAGGGGCCACCAGCCTTTGACACGCTTCTGCTTGAAGATGGACACCAGGGGCACGTCCAGCTCCCCTGTGGCCATCTCCATGGTGCACTGCTTGGCTGTCTTTGCACCCCGTGGGAACCGGTTCAGGTCCAGCTCGATGGCCCCTGTGACAACCTCAGAGTCAGCTCTGACAGACTGGCGGGAAGGACCCCCCCACCCAGGGTGTGTTCTCCCTATCCCTCCCCGCCCCTCCCCTGCCCTCTCTGTCCCGGTCCTAATCCCTAAGCCCAGCCCAGCCCTGCACCCAGGAAGTCGTCGGCAGAGAAGTGGTCGGCGTCCCAGATCTGCAGGGTGAGCCGTGCTGGGATCTTATATTCGGTTTCATCCCAGGAGAACATGGACTCCTTTTTGGAGATGACGATCTTTTCCTCAGCAGCCAAGTAGTCGAAGGGGAAGAGGTAACGCCAGTTGAAGTTGCCCTCGCCGGTCAGGGAGTGGTAGTGGACGTCCGTGTCCTGCTTGTCCTCCTGCTGGCCCTTCAGCCACCTGCAGGGAGCCACCTGCTCCAGACTGGCAGCCCCTCCAGTGGGGCCTCTCCCCACCCCACAGCTCCCTTGGTGGGCTCACTGTGCTCAGCCCCTCCCAGCCAGGGACCGCTCACCCACCCCCGCACAAAAATGTCACTGGACTTCTCCCCAGTGAAGAAGTCGTCGTCCTCCAGGACCACCTCATCCGTGTTCCACACGATGACCCGCAGCTCATACCTGGGCAGGGGGAGAGGCTGATTAGCAGTCTGGGTGGGCGTGGGTTACCCCAGGATCTTGGGGCTGGGATGGGCAGGGGGCTGGAGATGACAGAGAGAAGTCCTGTGGACTTGGGGTGAACATGGGGTCTGGACAAGTTGGAGCTGAGAGAGCAGAGGAGGAGAGATGTTGGGTTCACCAGGTGTGAGAGAAGGTCAGCCCGTCGTCAGCATGGCTGTTGTGAGGAGAGCCCCGGGGGAAGCCCATTGGGCTGGACCGCCAGGACCAGAGCACGCTCCTGGGCATGAGGATGGCTCAGGGCAGGGAGGGCAGGGCCCGGCTGCTAGGGGTGGCTTAATAGAGGCCCAGAGTCAGGAGCAAGTCCCCTGTCTCCAAAGGCCAGAAGCTCCATTCCAGTTCTAACAGAAATTTACATTGAAGCCCAGCAGCCAGCAGTGGACGCCCATGCAATCTAGCTCCTTTATGTCCTTGTCCCCAAAGAGAAGTTTCCCTTTGAAATGTAATTGTCATTATAAATGAGGCAGTTACATTTCAACTTTCAGGAGTGAGGTTGAGTCATCTAGTAAAAATGGATTGGAATGTGGCTCTTGGAGTTACCTCTAGACTGCAAGTCC